ATGTTGGGACAGAAGCTTTGTTGCTGAAAAGTATTTGTGATTTGTCAGTCCATGTTGAAAATGGGTGATGGTTGGTGCAGGGGAGCACTAGTCCACGTGTTTATCACGTGACATCGTACGGCGCTGATCCGACGGGGAGCAGAGACAGCAGTGATGCACTTGCTCAAGCAATGGCAGATGCATTTAGAGGCCCAACTGAAGGGTTCTTGATTGAGGGTATTGCCAATCTTGGAGGTGCCCAGATCGATCTTGAGGGTGGCCATTATCTGATCAGCAGACCCCTGAGGTTGCCTGGAGCTGGAGTAGGAAATCTTATGGTATGCCCCGATTAACATATTTTCTTGAAGATTTGATAAAATCCTACCATAAATTTTCCGCGGTATTCCAATACATGCGAGTTATGCCAGATATTCATTCTTTGGCTTGCCCTCGGGAATGTACCGAGTCTCATATGTGTTTCGTAATTGTTGATCAAATACATATCAACATGATGATATGAATTAAGCGATGTGATTAGGTTTGTGTAATAATTTGAACATTTTTTTTTTATCAAACAGATTCACGGAGGAACATTACGCGCCTCAGACGATTTCCCAACTGACGGATACCTAATTGATTTATCTCCAACATCATCAGCTAACAAGAAAGCAGAAACCAAAAAGGAGAGCTCAATGTCCTGCACAGCTTTCTTCATCATCCTACAACTATGAGTACATGACTCTCAAGGACCTATTTTTGAACTCTAACTACAGGGGAGGGGGCATTTCAGTCATAAACTCACTTAGAATAAGCATAGACAATTGTTACATAACACATTTCACCACCAATGGAATCCTAGTCCAAAGTGGCCACGAAACTTACATCCGAAACTCCTTCCTAGGGCAGCACATCACCGCCGGTAGTGATCGTGGTGAAAGAAACTTTTCTGGGATTGCGATTAACCTAATGGGGAATGATAATGCTGTGACAGATGTGGTGATTTTCTCTGCTGCGGTAGGTATAATGATTTCGGGTCCAGCCAACATACTTTCCGGGGTACATTGCTACAATAAGGCTACCGGATTTGGGGGCACCGGAATTTATTTGAGATTGCCCGGGTTGACACAAACCCGAATTGTGAATTCGTACATGGACTACAGCGGCATTGTTGCGGAAGATCCGGTGCAGCTTGATATCTCCAACAGTTTTTTCCTTGGTGAAGCATACATTGTCCTAAAATCAATAAAAGGGGTTGCCAATGGGGTCAATATTGTAAACAACATGTTTAGTGGGTTCGATAAGGGGGTAGAGATTGTTCAATTGGACCAAAATAATGGGCCTTTCAAAGAGGTTGAACAAGTATATGTGGACAGGAACAATGTGAGGGGCATGAACACAAAAGGCACAGTTGGAAGGAGGTCTGTGCAAGGCAATGGGAGCTCATGGACCGTAGATTTCAATCCAATTCTACTATTTCCTAACCTTATTCGGCATGTCCAATACACGCTGAGCGCCGGTGGCAATGCGTTCCCCAACCATACCCTAAGGAACGTGTCGAATAACCGTGTTGTGATCGAGTCGAATGTGGCGGCTCCGGCTTCTGTTTTCGTGACAGTTGATCAAGGAGTGGCAAACTGAAGCTAGCTGACCTAAATTTGTGTCAGGATCATTGACTGGACAAATTGTGAATAGGTTGGGGAAGATGGCAACATTTTGTCATGTTCTTTTTTATCAACTACTCTTTTTTGGTCATGATTTATACAATTCAATTATGCCACGGAATACACACACACACACACACACACATATATGTTGTAGCTTGTAGTAGTAGTTTGAGTTAATCAAATACAATACATATACCTCTGTAAAACTTAGGCCACATTTGCTTTTGTCAAAGTCATATTTTGAATATGGCTCATTGCTGAAATTTGTGCAATAGAAATTGACCAATCAAATAAAAGGAAGGTCTTTTCTGGTTTACTTACTACAATTAAAGATGCATGTGACAATAATATTTCAACACAAGCCAAAACTTGAAATGATTAGAGATGACGACTGGTTGAACATCATTTAGAAACAATTATAGAGTCTGCAAAACAAGAGCAATTCATGTGAAATGAAACATGACGTAGAGGTGAACCCGTTTCATACTCTCTTGAGCAACATGACTCTTTGACTGTGTAGATGTGAACGTGTACACATAATACTTGGGGATTATATGAACAGATGTGAGGTAGAAGTTGCATGGAGTAGGAGAAGAAATGGCCAAAACTCCAAGCTCTTGAATAGATAGCGTAACTAATCTTTGTATATGCTGAAGGGGGTTAGCTATTGATCAGGACTCATTCGTCATTGTCTTTCTTTCATATTTACAAGCGACTTAGGTGTGGTTCTGGATGCATGGACAAATATTTTTGAAAACTTATTCGTTCTAATAATTCTACCACATTTAAGTGTTGAACTAACCAATTCAAAAAATTAATGAGTTTATTAGGGTGAAAAGGTGGATTTATAAAAAATGAGATAAAGATGGATTTGTAATTAGTTTGGCAAAGATTTAATTTCTGATCATTTTAACCAATTGCCTAATATTTTTTTAATCATATGAGCTACAAGTCTTTAGAGATGGTAGAGTAACCTTAGACAAAGAGAAAAACATTAGAAAGAAAGAGTACACCTATTACTATTAGCAATTGATGGACTTTTCAAACAAAAGAAAATAGTACTTTTAAGGTTAGTTTTGAAGATCTATTGAGAGATTGTAATTCAAGTAGTTGATGCTTGTATTTTCAAATAAAAAATTAAGAATAAAATCGAACATCGAATTACTAATAAGCCAATAGAATTGTATTTGTCTCTACCCATGAATTATCGTTGTTGCGTAATGTGTTTGAATTTTTGTAAGTGAGTTTTTTAAAGCAAAAAAATCAAACAAACTAACTTATGCTAAATTCTGAACCATATATAGAGTGTTTTAAATTCAGAAAACTTCAAGATTTAAAAAAAAAAAAAAAAAAATATATTATGCCATGAACTTTGTGTATTTATATAGTGTTCAAATCCATGAGGCGAATCGGTTGAAATGGAACTAAAATGAGTGATTTATTGTATTTGACAAGTACGCTATAAAAATGAGTAAACTTTATCTAAACCATAAACCCTATTTGTCACAAGTCAAAACACGATGTAGTGGTGATGATGGTGTTTGGCATATTTAAAACGATTCCCACTAATGTCACAATAATAGTTTTGGGACTTTGTACTTTAAAGGTGCGTACTAATGGTAATGGAATTTGGATCCTCCGGACATTAGTGTCCAGAGCCTAAGAATAAAGAAATCCGAGTCTTTAGTTTGGATGCATAAATTAATCATTTATTGCTTGTAATATTGGACAATGATTAATATAAAATAAGAACAACATAAGATTTATACTGGCGCCTTATGTTTTTGGCACAATATTTTTTAATAATGTTAGCATGAAATAACGTTAAACCGTGAGGTGCCAGAAAATTCATAAAAAAAATCTCAATTTAAATGAGTCTCCTTAGCATTTCTTTTTCGAAAAATACATGACAAGCCTGAGGCTCATGGGGAGTGGACACGAGATGTTATTTGTTGGATTTTAATGGCTTGGCCAGTTAATTGTCAAGCTTGGCTGAATATTACCAAGGCAACTACCCTAATTAGAATACTGTTAAAAAAAAAAAAAAAAAAAACAAGAAAGATTTAAACTTTGTAATGATAAATTTCTTGAGCCTGGGAAAAGGACTTGGGGGAGACCCATACTAAAGAAACAAAGATTAGGCAACAAAAAGTGTTTTCTTTTCCAATTATATCAACAGAGCATACTTATTGTGCTATTTCCTTAAGCTTAAGATATTGATCGTGGTTCTGATGCTACTCACCTGCGCAGGTGTTATTTTAGCCACTTCGGACTTTAATTGAGTAATTTTTGTATCTAATATAAGAAATGCTATCAACAGTTGCTTTCGCACAACGTGGTAGCACAACTCATCATCTGATAATTATTTAAGGATCTTATGAAATCAGCTCGGTCGAAAGGCTTAGCATTCTACTTCAATTCCAACTCAACTTAAATCTCATTCAAAGCATTGAAATGTCAAATGTCTGGTATTTCACTCAACTAACTTTGGTTTAATGGTAATAATTTTCACTTACTTGGAGATTTGTTTCAAATTTGACTCAGGTAAAAGCACAGATCCTATTTTTGTGAGGCAAAAAATTCCTTCACAAAAAATCTATTTTTTATCTTTTCTAGGTTTATTGGTTCTGTAATGAAATATATATATATTATGGTGACATAACTCTGTATTTTGGTGAATTTCTGTTTGTACATATCGCATCATATGCCAAAGAAAAATATTCCATTATCTCAATCAAAGAACATAGAAAAAGATTCATGGGTAACTTCCCAGATTTGGCCAAGAAGTTAGAAGGAGGTATTGGTCTTAGTAGGGTTAATTTACATTCCAAAATAACTTGAAAACTACTTTTGGAAAGATTTTGCGGTGTGTCCGAAACACAAGGTAGAACACCAAATATCATTATATAAGTTTTTTTTTTAAGTGTTTCTTCAATTTTATAATGATATATGATGTCCTACCCTGTGATCCAAACACATTAAAAAATCTCTCCACTACTTTCAAGTTGGTGGGAAACAATCAACCAATAGGATCAATTGATAAGGTTCCTTTGGTTAGATCATAGAGAGATATACCTTTGCATACCTTTGAAGCGCATTAAACAAAAGAGAAGACAGTGGATTGCCAAGTAAGCATATCCAATCATTGCCACCATTTTCCTCATCCATCATTTTACTCTCCACACCCTCCATTAATTGATGGACCATTTTTCGTAATTACAAATCACTGTCTAGTATACATATACTTAAAGTTACAAAAGAAAGTTTATGTACATATGTCAAATCTAATATTTTTATATCAAAATATAACTTCTTTATATAACAAATTAAGTGTTTTCCATTTATCCTGAATCATATTACTCGTTACGTCCATTAACTGAGCCTTAGCCTCTTCTCTCTTTTCCCTCAAACTTACGTTCCCCTTCAGTATGTACTATCAAATTAAAACTCTATGCATGCCCCTTCTCTCCACTAATTAAACTGCTATCTCCACCATCCCCACTACCACTCACAAAAGCTTCTAATTTTTCTCCACCACTTCAGTTTCATCTCTATCTCGATGGCTCAAACATCCCCTCCTCCAATTCCTTCTGTGCCTCCAATTCCCAGTCCCATCTCAATAAGAACACTTTGTGATCAAAACCCTAATCATGATCAATTCCAACCCAATCATCATCTCAATTTTATGGTCATCTTGGCAGCAATCTTGTGTGCCTTTGTGTGTGCTCTTGGTATCAATTCCATGTTGCACTGCGTTTTTCAATGCATAAGTCGTGCCGTCATTGAACCGGTCCAATGGGTAGCTTCACGCCGGCTTAATTCAGGCCTAAAGAAGAAGGAAATGGTGGCTTTGCCTACTTCAACTTACGCTGATTCAGGTACTACTTCTCCATCTTCGTCGTCTTCAGGCTGCGCTATTTGTTTGGCTGATTTTTCTGATGGGGACAAGTTAAGGGTGCTGCCCAAGTGCAACCATCGGTTTCACGTTGCCTGCATTGACAAGTGGTTGCTCTGCCACTCTTCTTGTCCGACTTGCCGGCATCGGCTCAAGTCCAGTGACTGCATGCCCTCTCTTTCTGAGATTGTCACACCCTAAGAGACTCAATTCAGAGAAGAACGTCATCGGCTTAGTTGAGTTGCGGAAGGGATATGACACTGCAGAAACTCATGAATTTGTATTAGGGTTTCATATTAGTATCTGGTTATACTAGTTTCTCTTCCTATATATCCTATTAGGGTTCATATCATATGGAGTTATGAATGGAGGAGTTTTGAAGCATGCAAACTATATTATTATAAATGTTATAGTTTTGGTGTCGCCATATTTCACTTTCATGTGTGTGTGTAAAACTTTAACTTATTAATTGACTTTATATAACAAAAACTATGGGAGCTCTCTTTTTAGGGTGGGTGCGGACAATAATGTGAAGGCATAAAAATTAAAATTACAACTCACACTTAACAAAGCTACTTTTGGGACCTTTTAATCTTTGTCTAGACTCTAGCATATAATTTTTTGAGTTTAGCAAATTTTATTTACATATTTAGTCTTCTTAGCATATATTTTTTTAGAAATGCTAAGGAAACTTTCTTAGAAATGAGACTTTCCATGGATTCTCTGCTACCTAAAGTTTTTAATACAATATTTTATAACGTTAGCACGGGAATAACATTAAAGGGTGAGGTAGTAGAGAGTTTATAAAGAGTTTCACTTTAAGAGTCTTCTTAACATTTCTCTATATTTTTTCCTGTTGTGCAAAATGTTACTCATTTAGATCAATGCTAATTGCCTTATGTTTTGTACAAGTAAGAGTGAGGATAAAAAAGTTTAAATCAGCACCTCACGTGAACTGTTTATATGAAATACGTTAAAGCAATTGAGCCACAATTTTTTGTAAAACATAAATTACGTTTGAAATACGTTACTTGGTCTTCTAACACTCAATCTCCACCCTATTAACAGAGGTCATGAATTCGAACAGCATGAGTTGACAAAAGTTGATAAATAGAAAAACAATTGTTTTTAATATGATTTTATTAGTGCTGCTGAAGCCACCAGCACTAGAATTTCCTCAGTTCTCAAGGACGAGCCGCTGTACTTTACTCCCCATGTGATAGACTCAAAGAGGTGAAGGGATCACATTACGCCACAAATGATGAAAGAAGAAAAGAACAAGGCATGTCCCAGTTTCGTTCTGTTAAATTTACAAGGAAATCTATCCAGCATTTGGTTTTTGCTAGATGGATATTGTAAAAATTCTCCAACATGTACTGATTAGTGCGATCACCCTCATCTGATGTGCGAGATTCCGAAACAAGAAACCGACAAGGAAAAAGCCATTCATTTGTGGAAACTCGAACGATTTTGCACAAATTTGTGATCTTCATAAAGATTGTGTCAACTACATCAAACAAGCCACTATCGAAACGAAATGACAGACCACTAACAATAATACAACGGATAAGTATTCCAGCTCCTAAGCAATTGACAGCAACAGAAGCAAATTCAGTTCTCATCTTCATCATCGTTTTCTTCTTCAGAGTCATCATAGAATTCATCATCTTCTTCATATAAAAGCCCTCTGAACTGCTGTGTCCTTATTCGCTTTTGAATTCGGTCCCTTATGGCTGTTCCCTGATACAGGACCATGACAAGTTCAGGTCAAAAAATGAAACAAAAATCTTCCCTGATTATATTCAAATCAGCTGTCATGCATGCAAACGCAAGTGGTATAACAAAACTGAGAGCGAAGGAGAGGGAGAGGGAGAGGGGAGAGAGAGAGAGAGAGAGAGCCCACCATTTTATGGAAACCTTCTTCAAACCTCTCCAGAAATCCAGCAACCAGCCGGTCAGCGTTCTCCACCCATTCATTACGACGCATGGTGGCAGTCTGTGTTACTATTTGTATCTGCGCATCCACAAGAGAGTAAAATACAATCAACTTATGACCAGACATCTCTAAGCAAAAACACACTTACTGGTGCTCTTACTAGTGCATGGAAATAAGGGGCCCAGCAAAACCAACAAGATTGTCAATATTATCCAGGAACTAATGTCCGCAAGAAAATTTGTGAGTCTCATTGGTTTTTCTAAGCCTAAACGTTTTCAAAAATACAAGGTACGCTCTTGCCGAGTGCAAAACATGACCTTATTCTCAAGGAATCCGTAAGATGTGAGAACTATTTTGCATCGACACTCAAAATTAAGGAATTAGTCAACAAATTTGTAAAAAAAAATAAAAAAAAAAAAAAAAAAATATGATGCCAGAAGCAAATAAAAGATAAGAGATGTCAAAAGTCCAATTGTCCATTAAAAAACTAAACATTTGCTCTAATTGCAAAAATATGCAGCAAAATTGCAAACACAGTTGGACCGTGGAAGAAGTAAAAGTACGGGAAAGGTACCCTTGGAGAGGGTAGACCAAAAAGGCAATACACATCCGATTCTTTTTGGACTATCATCAGTCTAACAAATGGTTGATCTCATGCATTGTTTTCCAATATGCAACCAAATCTATTTAGTATTTTATGCGTAGCTCCACTGGGAAGTATATAAATCAATGATTCAGTTATGAAAGGAAATTCCAAACTGATAGCGATGTAAAAGTATAGGTGTTTGAAGCATGCTGTTACATATATGGTACTGGAGCCTACTGGATTAAAATCTCAGATACTCCTAGTCAGTGATGCGTATAAAAAGGAACCAAAGATTATTAAGCATCATGGTATCATACCTTCTCTCCTACTTTTTCTTGGTGCACCTTCACCCTCTCACGCAATCTTTTCAGTCCCATGTTCACTCTCAGTCGCTTTTCCTAACAGTAAGAAATGAGGATGACGAAAATCACTTTTCGCACTAGAACAAAAGAAAGTGATCACTTGAACATGACACATTCATATAAACAAGAACTAACCCTCACATAGCTGACACCTAGATCTTTTCTTGAGTACCCACGGTCCAAATTACGCATCACATACTGGTTGTAATCTTTAACTATCCTCATTATGAGATCCGATGTAGAGATCCCATCAGTTCGCTTTGTTTCTTTAAACTTCCCAACAGACTTAACCTGTGTGGCGGTTTACGTAAACATATAAAAATGATAGTCAAGAGTGATGGAGAAATATATCTACAGAGTAAAACTACCAAAATAAGGTTAAGACACTGTTAGCATTCACATTAGTGAATGACTGATAAACAATTAGCTGAAACACGGCAAGATGAAAGCAAACATAGCATATAAGACGGGAAGAATTCATTCCTATTGCCACCCAGAATTAGTCTACTAGACAATAACTGGTTATGGCACGATCGTCTGCAAAGAACAAAAAGCTCTTGACAGATACAAAAATGGAAAAAGAGAAGGCCTAACAATGTTCTTAATAGGAAATAAACATATAGGTTCAGTTATCAATAGAACTTACAAATTCATAGACATCCTTTCCAGAGCCACTTGCATCAGCATAGCTACAATTACAAATTTAGGAAAAAGAAGAAGCATCAGATTGATGATGCAGAAATTTGCAAATCGTAATTAATTAGGGGTTGGTTAACTTTACGGAAGAGAGTCATGTGCCACAAAGTCAATCTTATGCTTGTCCAGAAACTCTTGCGAGAGCACCCATGGTGCATCAGGGATAACTTCGTCCACCCATCTGTAGCAAATATATTACAACACAATGCTTTAGGAACAACAATTCAGTAATGTCAAGTAGCTAACTGAGAGTGACGATGCAAAAATATGGTGTTCAACAATTTGGCTATCACGTGGACCCCCTCCCTAAAAAGGGAAAGCTAGGTTCTACCAAAATTAACATTTTTCGTTAGATAAAAGCAATCTTTTGACTAATAAAACAAGGTTAATAGCAATAAGCATAAGATTAACAAATACTTTCATCCGACTCCTTGCTACGATAAGTTGTAACCTAACATAGATTAGGAAAATGACAAGAACACTTATGGCAAATGCATAAGCCAACCTGCAATGGCGGAGTGATTCATAGCGCTCCTTCTCAGTCATAACAGTTTTTCCCTTATAATTGTGCGTAATTTCATCACCACAGCAGCCAACAAGCAGATACGTATTGGGGAACCTAGAGTTTAGACATAAATGAAACAATCCAAAACCAAATCAAACTCATTCAACTTTTCAAATTTAGAAATTTACTAGTAAAATCAGTAACAAAGAACATAGAGAGAAACTTTTTGGCATCGAATTCGAATTCAAAGGCAGAGAGAAGCAAAGAGAGAACTAATTCAAAAATGTTACTTGACCAATCTTCAAGAAAGTAAGCATCCAATTAAACCCAGAAACAATTTCAAGTCTTGACAGGGAAATTGCTTGATATTCAAGAAAAAGCATGTAATTTGACTGAAGCAATAAAAACCCACTTCAATTCTAGAGGGAAAGAGAGAGAGAGAGAGAGAGAGAGTTACAGTTTCTTGGCTTGCTCGAGAGAACGGGCATGGCCGAAGTGAAAGAGATCATAAATGCCGTCTGCATATACTCTCACTGGACGCTCCTCCTCCTCCTCCTTAATACTCTGCTGCTTCTCTTCCTCCATCTCTGCCTCTCTCAGTCTCTCACTCAACTGCAAATTCTTTGGGTTTTTGCTGAATTGGTTCTCACACAGAAAGCAGGGAGCTTCACAGCCCCTCTCTCTCCCTCTCTCTCTCAAGGACCACAGCAGTTGGAGTCTTGTACGTTAACGTACAAATACTCTTCTACGCAGGTTTCTCTTCAAGAACACGGGTGTGACGAGGATAATTGATTATTTGTATCCGCCCCCCAACGTTGTTTTGACGGTTATCCGACATCCAAAAATCAGTTATATTCTTTAGAGAGGTGTTATTGGGATTTTAAAATTTTCATTCTACATTTCTTACAAGTGTATTTTTTATTTTTAAATATAGAAAGTTTAGAGTATAGGATAAGAATTTTAGAGTGTCAATAATAATTCTCATTTTTTATTGTTCTTTATTTTTTAATACAAACGGTAGTACGAAATGAATGCGTCACAACTTCGTATTTCATTAACAAATATATTATTTTTAATTAGATATATATTAGGATTACATGTATGTGAGGCTTTGAAGCAAAATTTGGTTGTGTGAAATTACATTTCTGTCCCATATTTCTTATTCATGTTCTGTTTTAATTAGAAGGTTAAACTGGTGATTTCATAGGCTTTTGGTTGACAATAAGTGTTTTATTAATTAGTAGAGATAAATATAGAAAGTTTGGAGTGTAAGATGAGAATTTTGGAGCCAATAATAATTCCCATTTTTTATTGTTCTTTATTTTTTAATACAAATAGTAGTACGATACGAATACGTTACAACTTCATATTTCATTAACTAATATATATAGGAGATGGATATGTGGTATTATTATCTTTTATATAGTTTTTGACAAACGTTTTATGGGATCTTCTTAATATACCATTGAATTACGAGTTTAAGGTTGTTTTGTAAAACCATATTCGTTTATTTTTTTTCACTATAAATAAATGTCTTAATAGTTTTGAATTTATCTGATATTTTATATAGATAATATATAAATTGTGTTCTAAAAGATAGACGGAATAGACCCCACAAAAAAAATGTGTCAAGTTGGATAAAAAAAATGGTGCCACAAGTCCACCCATATATATGATAAGTTGTTAGTCAAACTTAAACCTCATCCACTTAAGTGAGATCACGTGTTGCTAAACCAGTTGATTTTGCACATTTCTTTTGATATTATACCATTTAAATACCTTTTCTTTTCAATTGTGTGTTTGATACCAGTTGACTTGAACGCTTACAGACAAAAATGCAGAGAAAGAATGGTGTCTGTCCTGCTAGGCTGCTACCTTATGAAGAAAATGTTTATGACAAACAGACCAAAAGTTGAATATTATTTGGGTTGGTCACTGAATTAAATATTCATGTTCAAACTGGCTAAATTCTAATTTGACTGGAAATACAACCGGAAGAAAAATCAAATTTCTTCTCCGTCCCAATGGAATACGTTTAGATCACACGAGCATTTTCTTGAGTTAGAAGTTGTGCTAGAGTTATGTAAACCGCAACCAGCTTACAGGAAATGCTAACATCAATCATTCACAACAGCGTGTTTGTGACAAACAAAGGTCAATTGGGTTTGGATCCTACGACGGACTTAATACAGACCACCAGAGCATCAATGAGACATTCGACAAACGGTGCTCAATCCCAATCTGTGTAGCATAAGAAGTTATTGAAATAAGAATCATTACAAACTATATCGTAATGATACAGTATCTCATTTGTATCGTAACGACATTCTAGACTTTCCAATTACAATGCTCTAACCATACACCACTTACACATACACAGTGATGAACACTCGGCCGCGCTGCTAATAGTTGCAGGGGTGAAATGCACCTCTGCATTTCCATTCTAGCGAGCGTACTTACAGTGCTGTTTTCTATCAGTACCAGCAGTCCGCAACTTCCTCTTGCTGTGGCAAATTCTGCTTCTTTGGCGGACCAGAGGTTCTTGGGTATTCTCCATAAGCATCTTTCCCGGGTCTCGCAAGCTCTACGTAGATGATCCTGCCGTCAAGATTCTTATAGTAACAAAAAGGAAAATGAGTCACTAGGGGTAATATTTCATCAGGGAAAAAAGCAAAAGAAAAATGGCCAATTTAGAACCTTGCGATCCATATTTTCCAGGGCGAGCATAGCATCATCTTGACTGGTATATTGAATAAATGCAAACCCCTTGGATCTTCTTGAGGATTCATCCTTGACTAGTTTAACTGATCAACACAGTAAATACAGTTACATGGTGTACATGAAAAATAAAGGATCGGACTATGTGAACTATTTTCTGCTGCAAATAAAGGTACGTACCTTCAGCTATCTGGCCGAAACTCGAAAATTTCTGCTGCAAACTATTTTCACTGGTGGAATATGGTATATCTAGGGCTGGAAAAAAATCCCAAAAATCCCAAACCAAACCGAAAAAATCCCGATCCCAAACCAAAAAAATCCCAAACCAAAATTCCCGAAATTTTCGGTATGTAATCCCGAACCAAACCGAAATTTTCGGTATGGGATTCGGTATTCCATCTCCATTTTTTCGGTATTCCCATACCGAATTGAAATAAATATTATATATATATATAATTTTTTTTATTATAAGATAATTATTTCAACCGTTCATTGTTTTAGATTTAATCTGTATATATATATATACACACAATTACCAACAAGAAGGGAGCAACCACAAGCATCAACAAGATCAAGGGGACGAAGGGGCCGAAGAGGCCAACAATATTTATAGACTTTAAGCTTTGCTTTTTAGCTTTTGGTTTGTAACTTAATTATTGAAACTTTGGCTCATAACTAATTTTTTTGATTTTGGGTTTGTTACTTTATTTATAAACCTTGGCTTGTAACTAATATTTTTGCTTTTGAGTTTGTTACTTTATTTATTACTTTATAATATGTCAAATTTTAGCCCAAAAACATAATATGTCAAATTTTAGTCCAAAAGCCCAAAAACATTTCGGGATTCCCGATTTGTCCCGAAATCCCGAAATTATTTCGGGATTCCCGAAAATTGGGATTCCCGAAAATTTGGTTTGGGATTGGGATTGAATTTGGGATTCCCAAAAATTTCGGTTTGGGAATCGGGACAATGGTTTCGGTATGGGATCCCATACCGAACCACCCCTAGGTATATCTGCAGCTCAAAACAAATTAGAACTTGGACAGTTAAAGACAAATTGCATGGTATCTTTATACTTTTGGGGATCTTCAGTTACCTAGTAATATATTTGTGAAGTGCTAACTCGCTATAGCTGCTACTACCAACCTATACTAAGGTACATAAAAAGGCTCTAAACTTAGCATCTTTTGTAAATTGAAAGATCTGAGGCCTCAGTGAAGAAATTCCTATAGCTGCTACCAACTCCTTGCTCTTTCCATTGTTGGTAGTACTTAATTTGCGTTCCAAGCAATCTTTGCTTGGTAGTACTTAATTTGCGTTCCAAGCAATCTTTGCTTGCAGTGAGCTTACTTTGGATGGAAAACCATGTGATTGCGCAATTAATAACAGCTTAAGTAAACCAAATCGTATTCTACAAATCCACAAATGGATTAGATGTTACCAATTTTCCAATCCATTGCCTTCAATGCTACCGTGTTACTGTTAACTATCACCCTGCAGATGAACAACCTCTGTTAGCTGTATTTTTGCGTTTTGTTGGTGCCAACTTAACTTCATGTGTCCAGGACTGACTGAAATCTTCCCCTTCACTTCCTCTTGTAATCAATAACCTCTTATTAATCCATTTCCTCTTCGAAAATATTAAACCACAAGAATGAAATAAGTCACCAAACTCTTGACTTTCTCTTTGTTATCAATCTTAAAACTGCTGCCTCCTAGTCTTCACACTCATTTTAAACTATCCCACCCGCATGCCAAATTTCATTATTGTGCCTCTGCTCACCTACATTTATTCCATTTTAAACATCGAAGCGAAATTCGAGTGCGTGCTAACCATCCTCAATCCAAATAAAATGTAGTCAAAATATGTCTACCCGCTAATAAATTTCCAGTCTAACACTACAAAAATGCACAAATTTCACAATTGAGAAGATAAATTAAGTAAAAAATCAAATGATAAGTCAGTCATAATTAAACAATCAGAGCTAAAATACAGCATAAACTAAATAAAAATCTAAACTTCAAGAAAAACCAAGATAGTGAAACAGTAAAAACTCAGAACAAGAGCTAATCCACTGCATGAATTACACGAAAGTTAACACATTGAAGCAGACCCAGGTAGAAAATCAATCAATATTTCTCACAATTCACAGATTGAAGAAAACCCAAATGGAAAACCAACCGAATTCACAGTAATTGTATGAATTAAAGTAATAAAAAAGCGTACTTTTAACCAAGATTTTGCTTGCGAGAGGATAGTCGAAAAAGGAAGATCTCACTTGGAGCTTCAAAGGCTTGGAGTCCGTACGATTCGACAGATGAATCGGTTTCGGGTGTGCGTAACAAGGGAAGGAGACCGTTGCCGCCCACATGCCTTCTCAATCTTCTTCTTTTTCGAGTGCCGAGTTTTCTGCTTACTTCTGCTGTTCTTCGCGGCTTCGATTTTTCAGTTAACAGCAAAAAGCCCGCGACCCGTTTTTCAGAACGGGTCTTAACCCGAGCTCCAGCCCAACAGCCTCAACCCTATGCTTTCAGCCCATCCCATTTCTCAATACCACACTCCTTTTTTTTTTCTTTTTTTTTTTTTCCCTTCTTTTTTTGTCTTTTGACTATGAGACATCCTAAACGTTGTACTCTCAAAGTCCGTTAGTCCGTTTGGTGGGCAAGATAGGATTGACCCTCATGGATAGGATTGAATTGGTAGAAATTGTTTAGGCTTTGAATCTCAGTTCTTGTTTGGTGAAACACCAAATTGTATAGGATTGGGTCGATGGCGTAGACAACTCAAATTAGATATGTTGGGATAGCCAATCCAATCCGTGTTGTAATTTTTCTCATCAAACATTTGATGGGTTACAAGTCTAATTTAATTGGATAACTCATCTCATCATGCTTACCAAATGGGGCTTCAAGTCTCATCAACTGGTCTAACTTATATTTACACTTTATGTGGTTGCGAAATAAATAAGTAAACCATTTGTCTACTTTAAACATCCATAATTTCATTTTATTTTTATTTTTAATAAAGTGACAAAACGATATGCTAATTACTTTTTATTCATACAACGCTATTGGAAGACGAGTATGATCCGTCACAATTAAATATCGAAATTCGTAATTCATGAAAATTGAACTTAAAATCTCCTACTTATAACAGACAAATTATTTTAACAAGTTGAGCGAGTGGTTATTCTAAACAACTTTTACTTAATGGAAAGTGGACTCAAACTTTGAAAGACGAACACGCTGCCTTGTTGTTCTATAAATAAACAACATGTAGTTCAGAGGCTAAAACACATTTACATCCAAGACCAGGTCAAATAAAAGCACATTCCTGACAGAGGTGATGAACCTCAATTACAGGAGACTCACAAGTCACAAGTCACAAGTCAAAAAGGAGACTTCCAAATATTGCTCATGAACCCGGAATTTTAACTTTTAAGTAGTGATGCTTGGAAATTTCAAAAACCATGAATGTTGATAAATTGAAAGGATCAGGATCCTCTCCTGAGATAAGGGTAAGGATCTTCCTGAGCAAGCTCATCAAGCTATTGAAATTTTTATCCAACGGTTACAAACAGGAGATCCCTCTAAAAGTTATAATAATTGTAATCGTTGGATAAAATTTTAACGGTCCGATGAACTTGCACAAGAGAATCCTCACTCTTAGCTTAGGAGAGGATCCTGATCCAACTTGAAAGATCTCAAACGTGCACAAAGAACTTTAGGATACTTGGTAGTGGTGGGGATGGACAAGTTATAAGGTAAGGGGGAGACAAAGACCCATGATGAAGCTAATTACGGCACTCTATTTAAGAAGGACAATAACTTGGATTGACCGGATCTGATCAGTCCAATTGGGTTGACGGCTTCAGGCTTGAATAATTTTCCTCCATGCTTAGGAAAGAGCATATTGACTGGAACCAGTCCAAGTCAAACAAGGCTACATGGAAAATAATTTTTTCAATCACTCAAGTGATGGTAATGGTTATCATCTTATTTATCATTGTTTGATGAGCTTAAACTTTAAGAATTGTATGAATAGATAGAGATCTAAAAATTTAAACTCATGCAATAGTAATGATAGATAGGGTGTGAGCAAAAATATACGCGGGCTACTAGCCTACTACGTATTCCTTTCATGGCATCAACGTATACAGAGGCACGAAAATACTATCATGCTCTGGATATCTTATATTTTGAAGTTTTTAAATATTAAATTTTGGTGATTTTTTTTATTTTGTCTCTCACTAAATAGGAGAAATTAATTTCTCTATTAATAGTTTAACAGTTAAAAACCCAATGTATAGAAAACCGCAAAACATATTAGAAAATTGAAAAACTTCGAAGTTTGAACCAACAAAAAAGGAAGAAGTAAAAGCGACTTACACTAATTCATGTGATTAGAAGCTTAAACTCAAAATGTCCATCCATCCACCATCCTACTTTAACAAATGGGAAGGTTTTTAGCCACTTGAGAGAAGCATGTTGCTAGCAGATAATGGATGGGATTCTCTCCCTTTTTTTTTTCTCTCCTCTTCTTTCTCTCTTTTCAAGGTTTTTTTTCTCTTTTTTCTTTGTACCTTTTTTTTTTCTCTCTACAAAAATGAAATCTTGAACTTTCAAACAGGAGAAGAAGGAAGGGAAGAGAAAAAAAAAGGAAAAATAATCCTTGTCAATATGTGTTCGAAAAATATTAATACATCAGCCTATTATAAACGCTATAATATGGCATTAATTTACAATTACTCTCATTTGCTTGTTTTTTTGTTTGATTTTATAATTCTATTTATGAAATTTGTACTCAAAATTCTCTCTCACGAAAAAAAAAATGGACGCATGCAAGTTAGTGAAGCATTTAATAATTTTCACACTTTTTATTCATGTATTCTCTTGCTTGTTTTTATCACTTGATTCATTGTTAATTTATGCAATTAGATGGTTAAAAACAAAATGAATTCCATTTTTATTTCCTAAGTTTTTAAAAGGGAATTGTTATTAACACTCCAAAAATCTCATTTTACACTCCAAACTTTCTATATTAGGAAAGAAAAATACACTTGTGTGGAATGTATAATAAGATTTTTAGAGTGTCAATAACACTTTTCTTTTAAAATAGTGCTTGGAAACAAAAAGATTGAGTCTCTTAATTACATTTGGCGCATGTATACCCTCTACCAAGCCAATCAGCAAGCTAAGATACTTGGTCAACCAACTGAGAGTCGATTGACATAAAAAAAATAGTCCTCAATTAAACAACAGCCACTTTCTTGTTCCGATCCCTCACCCTTTTCTCACTCTTTATTGAGTCTATTCTCTTATAAGTCATTAGTCAATACCCCTGACTAAATTGAGTACTGCGGCTGTGCTAGCACAACTACTGCATCACACCACCAATAATGAAACATTGGAACCTCCATGGCGTTGAGGTATTAATCTCAAGTCAAGGAAAACAGCGATTTTGATTTTGCATGTACTTATAAACAATTGAGCTATTTTTCATATTGTCATTTGGTTTTATGGTGGAACGTTAATTTTCTTCATCCTATCAGAGATAGTTGTTCCACGTGTGAAGCTTAACAGTCACACGTCTTCACTTCACTTTATTTGTGTTATCCATGTGCTAGTCACACGTCTTCACGTCATTCAATTTGTGTTATCCATGTGCTAGGCTTGAAAATTCGCCACACGTGAGAGGGTGTGTTGAGAGTATTAATCTCGCATCGGGGAAATAAGGGACTTTGTATGTACTTATAAGTAATTAAGCTACTTTTTATGCATATTACCAATTAGTTTTATGGTAAACCATAAATTGTTTTGACTCCCAAGACTAGTAAGTATATAATTAGGAGCAGAACAGGTGATCAAAACCCAATTTTTTTATGAAGTAGGTATTTTTTTTGTAATCTCAAATTAAGCTGCAGTGTTTACATTGCTTTGATTTGCTACAAGGAAATTGAAATATTGTAATTAACAAATGTTGCTTGCTTACCTTAAAAATACTATCTAAACTACATATCAATGAAACTTTCTTTGTCAACAAAAAAAAAAATGAAAAATATATTTTTGTCTTCTATCACAACAAAAATGTTAAAGATAGTAACGTAATTTCACAAAACAAAATTTTGCTGATTTTTGTTTAAACCTCACCCACAGGTGATTTTATCATCTCTAATTTAAAAAAATACAAAAAATAACCTCTCTCCCTGTCTTCATACTCCCACGTTCTCACTCTCCTTCAATTATTAGAAAACAAATAAAAAATTTAACACACACTTTGTGTGGGCATATACCACTATACTAGTAGATAGAATAAAAGTTTAGCAATTTACACATACAGAATTTTCGTGCTCCTGATGGGAATGCATGGGATTCCTCCACACCAAAATAATGATTAAATTGAAAAACATGCAAGTAATTTGTGTTCCATCCCATCTTTCTTCAGTATCAATTGATATTTAAAAGAAAGTAACAAAATATCATGCATATGAACAACATGTGAAAATGAGATATTAATTAATTATTCTAATATTACATCATAAACCAATAAACTTAATCATAAGAAAATTACATGGCTTTTCTTATTTTCATGAATATGTAGTGACCCTGTGTTCTAACCGGAGAAAAATTCCCTAGAAAGTTCATACAAAGCTATATCTTCCCGATCCATGACAAAACCATCCACAACCTCCATACTCGGTACAGAATTATAATTACCACTGCTCGACGAATACTGAAACACATCGTTACCACTACCGCTAACGTTATCAATCGGATACATGCCTTGATGCTCTTGATGAAGCTGTTGATTTTCTTGTAGCTGTAGCAGCGGTTGTCGATGTAGTTGTTGTTGTTCTTGTTGTAATTGTAGTGGCTGCTGCGCCAACCGCTGCAACTGTTGCTGATACTGGTAGTTATAGTTGCGATTGACAAAAGGTGTCATTACAGAACCAGTCACATTATTATTGGATCCAAAACTCAAGTTGATCGGACCCTTTTGGTTCCCAAAGGAAAGGGATGTGCTAGAAGCAGTACAACCTGTGAATTGTTGCACCAAAGCTCGAAAATTGTTAGCGTTGGCGTTGAGGAGGGTGATGGGTGTCTTCTTTGAAACCCTAGACCTCCTTCTGATGGGTTTTGACACACTTCCTGTTGGAGTGAGCTGGCCTCCTGGGCTGCTAGTGATCTCTGTCACAGTAGGGCTACTTGTTGTGACGATGGTGGAATCTGAAAGCCCTCCACTACTGGGTGGTGTTCTCTGCCCATTATCCATGAGGGCGTGTTGGTAGTATTGCCCCCTCTCATTCGAACCAGGCATATTTGTCCTTTTTGATCCTTGAAAACTGTAAAATAACTTATAATATAGGAATTGATTGGATTTTTACTTACTTGGAGTGATTGAATGCCGAGGAACCCTAGAGGATGACAGTCGCTGAAGAAGTACCAGTATGGTATCGGCCAAAGATCTCAACATATTTAGGACAGTGAGTAGAGAAGCACTGTTAGAGTTTCAACAATGGTACCTCATGGTTTTGAGTGGTGGGCTATATATGTCACTCTATTACGTTGTGAAGGGAACTATAAACAAGCTCTATATCCTTACTGTATTTATAGTGACTTGTGAAGGGAACTATAAACAAGCTCTATATCTCTACTGTATTTGTAGTGACTTTTGGTCAATATTAAGACAATTCTTTTTGTTGACCTTTCCATTCATAGAGGAGAAAGATGCTTATTGGCGACGCACATGCGGTGACAGTGCTTCCTGGAAATTGCATCTGTTAGCTAGAAATTTTTTTTCCGTGGGACCGATACACAGAGTAATACACCACGTATTATTATACAAATTGTGGAATATGTGTGTTAAAAAATTAATAACTTAAGAAATAAAAATTTTCATCACTTTTATAAAAATACGTGATATACCACTCGTGTTCCGGTTACAATGAAAATTTTCTGATTAGCTAGTATCAATGAGGTCGTCATAGCCACATCACAATTGGACTCCAATTTATTGGTGGAGCCAATTTGAGACGGTCCATGCTTCTTTGGTCAGAAAATTGTTAAAAAGAAGCTAACCATGGTTAGAAAAACTTAATTAATTAAACATTTTTCTGCTCCATTAAATAAGTTTTCAGATAAGGCCATTTAAAATGTTAATATACTCAAAGGATATGTGTGGGATCCACGAGCAGGTAGTCCATTGGTAAATTGTGAATTACGAGGCTTTTTCAAACTAAAAACTAGAAGTCTTGAGTTCAAATCCCGCTGCTGGTGTGGAAGCTAAACCTGGCCAGAGGGAGATTAAAATGTTTCTGTGGATCTTCCCGGCCTCCGAAAAAGATGGATAACCGTAACTTACTACTAGTTGTCCCTCTTTTTCTTTTTTTCTTTTTTTTTCTTTCTTTTTTTTATTTTTTTTTATTTATTTTATTTTTTTATAGAGGATCTGTGGGGGTGTTTGCAACTTTGCATGCATGCGTATGCTTTGAGATAGGGAGACTAATACGAAAATCACCATTATAGGACAACTGTTATATTTCTTTGACATTACTTGAATATTTATTTAGAGTCTAGTTTCCTCGGCAACTTTGAGATTAGGGATTTTCTATATTTTTAGTATAAAACGTCACAACAAATAATATTTGTTGTATGGTACAATACACAACATTAATAAATTTAACGCTTTCAAGTCATCATTTTCATATATATTTATATAAAAAATTTTCAAACATGACATATGCTGAATTAAAGTGGGATGTTGCCATTGCAATTACCAATCAATATTTGCACTTGGCAGCCTACTACTCAGTCAATTGTCATTATTAAGTAGGTTATTCCTTTAAGTATTACTTTAGAAAGGTTTCATTGTAGTAAATGAACACTAAACGTTTAATGACGACAAAGTCTCACTCTTTGCATTTCAGTATTTCTTGTCTAAAACAGCTTGTTGATTCGAGTTTTTTTTTAATACACACACACACACATGCCCTTTAAGGGAAGGGATCCTCATTTTTCAAAAAAAATGAGGACGCCCTCTTCACTATTATATTTGACTTTAATGAAATTATATGGCTGAGATTAAATCACAGGCCACAAAATCTCAACCAAAGGATTTCATTAAAGCCAAATTTAACGGTTAAGAGGATATCCTCTTTTTTTCTGAAAAATGGGGATCCCTTCCCTTAAAGGCTTCCTACACACACAAACGCTATTATTTACGGGAAGGGGAGACTTCGAAATAGAGTGTGTTTCGGAATGATCGGATTGGAAATCACGTCTAACTTCCGCTCCAAAATTCGGAATCGGATCGCATCGGATCACAATTTTCAAAATTTGAAATTTTCACCATATTCGGAAATTTCGAAATTAGAATAATCTCAAAAATTTTAGAATATAAATCGGAAAGTCATATATTTTATAAGTTTTTGAATATTCTCTCTAACTTTTTCAGACATGTAATTTATTGTTTTTTCTTAATATTTGGTATATGGTCATGTATAAATTCAATTAAGTTTATGGTATACTAGTATTGTAAGATCCCACATCGCCCAGGAGAGTGATTCTTATATGTATATTCTCATCCCTACCTAGCATGAGACCTTTTAGGAGCTCACTGGCTTCGGATTTCGTAGGAACTCCAAAGTTAAGCGAGTAGCGCGTGAGAACAATCCCATGACGAGTGACCTACTAGGAACTTCTCGTGTGAGTTCCCAGAAACAAAACTGTGAGGGTGTGGTAGGGGCCCAAAGCGGACAATATCGTGCTACGGCGGAGAAGAGCCCGGGATGTGGTGGACCCCGGACTGAAATGTGACAATTTGGTATCAAAGCCTAACCCTGGCCGTGGTGTGCCGACGAGGACGTCAGACCCCTAAGGGGGGTGGATTGTAAGATCCCACATCGACCAGGGGAGTGATCCTTATATGTATATTCTCATCCCTACCTAACATGAGGCATTTTGGGAGCTCACTGGCTTCAGGTTCCGTAGAAACTCCGAAGTTAAGCGAGTAGCGCGCGAGAGCAATCCCATGATGGGTGACCCACTGGGAAGTTCTCGTGTGAGTTCCCAAAAACAAAACCATGAGGGCGTGGTAGGGGCCCAAATCGGACAATATCATGCTACGGTGGGGTCGAGTCCGGAATGTGGTGGGGGCCCGGCCCGAGATGTGACAAGTATGGTTATCTTCTTCAATATAAAAATAATGAACAAAATGTATCAATAACTAACGATAAAATACAAAAGTTAATTACATAATATATAATTTGAGTAAATAACTATAAAAATCGAATTTTTTTGGAAGTTTTTATCGAAACAAGTTTGGAAAAAATCAGATCGGAAATTCGGAATTCTCAAAATCTCTAAATGCATTCCAATTTTTTCATAAAATATTCGAATTCGGAATTTTTAGGTTCATATTCGAAAATTTAACTATTGGAATTTAAAACACCATTCCAAGTTTCCAACCTGCATCCCTAGTTCGAAACTATTGTATTAATTTAGAGAAGAAGAAGTTTCAAATTCAAGATGCATATATAGAACCCAACATCTTATTCATTAAGATATTAGACCACATACTTAAAAAAGTAATCCAGGTGTGAACACTATTCTAATTTTTTCTTTTTTTACTTGCCGATCAAGCATTTGAAGCTTTCCATTGCAAAAGAAATGAATTAGATAGATAGCTTCTGGAATTCAATTACACTGACATGCGCGTTGGTGTTTTTTAATTTTTTTTATACGATAGAAAATAGTTATCCGGAGATTAATAAACTAAGTTCCTTAGGGAAATTATGTATTATCTGGAACACTAGTGGACCCTTGATCCACTAGGATTGGCTTGTAGGGCAAGTTGTTTAACATGTGTTTGACCAAAAAATTTTACACTCCAGATCCTTTGAACATGTCTTATGTCTTTTCTTTTGTTGAAAAGAAATACAGGTTGGTTTGAAAAGTGTTTTTAAAATAACTGAAAGCGCTTTTGATTAAAGTAGTTTTGAAACTAATCTTTAGTAAAATATAAGTGAATCATAGAATAGTAAGTGCTTTTTGCAAGAAGCACATAATTGGTGTTTACTGCATAAAACACTTCAAGTGCATTTAGAGCTTAAAAACACTTTCACCAAAAATGCTTTAGTCGTTTTAAAAACAATTCTAAACGAACCCTACACCACTGTCACTTTTCCATGGATGTTGAAGATGGACATTTTTGTAATTAAAATGAACTTTGATATGATGTTCCAATTACCATTTGTTTTGAATCTCTTCTTTTGCATGGAGAGTTGTTTTTTATACATATTTTAGTCTCTCATACACCTCTATTTATTTTGTGTCGTTCAATTGAATATGTCAAACAGAACAACGAACAAGATTAAAAATGAGTTGTAAGAATAAAAACAAGGTATATGTTTATTATTTTCCTTTTGTATTTGATTTGGTAGTTGAGGTAATTTACTAAACCAAACTAATACAACTAGCTTGCAACAATTTTTGGTCATGGCATAGTGGGAAAAGAAAATTCACAAATAATGAGAGATCATACGTTCAAGGTTACATAAACTTCTCAATTGGAAAAGAATTAGTTGCATACTCAAAATTAAATATTTTACAGTTGTTTTTTGTGAGCTGACAGTGCATAAAAGCTATAAATGAGTTTCCAAGTTGAGAAAGTCGAAAAAGTTTTATTTATTTATTTATTGTTATTATTTGATGTTTATATTGCTAATTGCATAAAGTTGTTATAATCTTCCTTTCATTTAAATTAATGAGAAATGTTAAGGAAACTCTCTTAAAAGTTATATTTTCTATAAATTATGTGTCATCTCATATTTTTAACATAACATTTTACAGTGTTGGCAAGAGAATTACGTTAAACTATGAGGTAACAAAAAGTCTATGGAGAGTTTCACTTTAAGAGGTTTCCTTAGCATTTCTCTAATTGAGAATGCTACAGAGACTCTCTTAAAGTGGGAATCTTCATGAATTCACTGTCACTTAACAGTTTAATAGAAATTTATATGCCAACATTATAAAATATTATGTAAAATATATAAAGTGACTAGTCTATAAAAAATCCTACTTTTGAAAAAATCTTTTTAGCATTACTCTTAAATGTTTTATTTATGCTTAATCTGTCTCTTATTTGATGTGTGTGTGTGAAAGAGTATCACATCTACAGTAGTACTAGAAGACGATAGTGACTAATTAAGGTTGATTATATTGGAAAGGGTTTCTCTTCAAATCTTTTCCTGAGGATTTTAGATGATCATGTGATCATGATCGTTTATCGAACATCATGCGGTTAGAAATTATTTTAAA